TTTTAAAAAAATTTTTTTTTTTTTTTTTTTTTTTTTTTTTGTTTTTTGGAAGGAGGGGTTTTTTTTTTTTTTTTTTTTTTTTTTTTTTTTTCGCAGCAGTTTCCCAAGCGGGAGGGGCCCCCCCCCCCTCTCCCCGGGCTCTCCTCACATGGATGGTGTCTCCGGGCAATGACCTAGTTGGAAACCGTGGCAAGCAAATCATTTGGAGGTTGAGCTTTCTTTGGCCTGGATTTTTCAAGATTTTCTCTTGACCAGCACGTCCATCTTGTTTAGCGTACTTTTTTTGTTTTCTTCTTTACACGCGTTACACTTTAAGTTTGAATCTTTTTCCTGCAGCGTTCACCTGGTGAACATCTGGAACAAAAATGCTGGGTCGACGGGGGTAGTTTGACACTGTCACTCAAGTTATCGTGGTTGACAGTGTCTGCTTCGTTTAGTGACTGGGTGAGTGTGTCCGCTCAGATCTACTTTTCATGTTGTGTGCCTAGGTCAAGAGTTACATCACATTAACCAGGAATTTGTAAGCATTCAATTTTTTTTTTAAAGTAAAGAACTCTAATTACAATTTTATTATTAAAAGTTGAAAATATAGAAAAAGATATAGAAATATATTTAAAAATAAAAAAAAAAGACTTTCTATCAAATACGATTTAAAACGCACTAAAAATAGAAAATAATTTGAAACTTCTTAAAATTCATTAAACAAAGAATGTCTGGGCAGAAAATTTTTTCAAAAATTGTTTTTAAAAGTATAAGATTTAATTTTGGTCTACATTCGAATATTCGAATTATTTTGGCAATTTTTAAAAAATTTTTTTTTTGGTGTGTTAATGTATATATTTTGTGCGTTTTAACTCGTCTTTGACGGAAAGTCTTATGTTAATGGGTTTTTTTTTCCTCCAATTTATTTAGTGGTATAGTTTGAGTTTGAACTCCAGCCAACGAGTATGCCCAGGTGTCCTCCAGTAATACCACCCATCACCATTTCATGATCACGATGTATTAAAAAGATATTTGATTGGCTCGTGTACAAAAAGAAAATAGTCAGCCGTCAGGAAATGACTTATCCACAGTCAGAGCCCCCCTCTATACGAACACTTAAAAAGTGTTAAGATCATATCAGTACATTTGTCTCCATATGACGAATAGACAGACACACGTCTCAAAGTCTCGAATTCTTCATTAAAAGTTTGTTCGCATTACTGGATGGGTGTCTCCCAATGCAAAGCCTTTCTTATTAATTGGGTATCTGCCAATACTGTGCCTCTCAGTGGCTTTGTAAATTGTTCAAGATTGTTTGTTTTTTTTGTTTTTGTTTTTTTTTTTTAAATTTAAATTGACTACTTTGCTCCCAGATACAGAATTTACCACGAAAGTTCGCCAACTATGGGGAATGATCAGAACGTATCGGTGACGGAAACTAAACTGTTTCTTCAACGCCTTCAAAACCAGATAACCCTAGTCATGGTTCCGGCACTGACGTTCTTGTCATTACTTCTGGTGACTGGAGTTATCGGGAATTGCCTGGTTCTTCTTGTGTACGGTCGTAGGTTCCCCCAAACTCCGCTGAAGATGTTCATTAAATGTATGGCTGTGTACGGTCTCGTAACGGTCACGATCACACTTCCGGGTAAGTTTACACATAAGCGAATGTTTGGTGTTGGTTGGTGTCTGTGTCAGTTCGTCAGTCGAGTCGATCATCAAGATCATTTTAATCATCGGTCTCATTATGTTTGTGGGTGCGCAGAAGGCTGATGGGACTGATTCTAGCGCGAAAGTCTCTTTTGTGTTGAAAACTGTAATTCAGGGCACACACGAAATTTCAATAATGGATGTGTTTGAATGTTATTCAAGTGTTGCAGAGAGATGTGGACAATCTTTTAAAAAGGCATTCACGATCTCGTGAATTCATATATAACCTTTTTCGACCTTATTTTGATTTCAGGTGAAATGTATGAATCACTTAATCAGTTAGACTTCAACAAACCAATTGTCTGCAAAATTAAACATTTTATTGCCGCCGTAGTGACCATTGGGTCTGCTCTGTTGGTGTTGGCTGTGGCCGTGACCAGGTATGTTGTCCATTGGGTCTGCTCTGTTGGTATTGGCTTGGCCGCGACCAGGTATGTTGTACATTGGATCTGCTCTGTTGGTGTTGGCTGTGGCCGTGACCAGGTATGTTGTACATCAATACGGCTGTATTGACGATAAGGTTTTTTGAAAATTGTTACAGAGCTCTTAAAGCAAGTGCGCATTGACATAGTTTCCACAGAAATAACGAGCCCACGGCAGCGAGGTGGCACGCCGGTAAAGAACGCTTGAATCCGTCAACACCATGGTTAAACACAAATGGAAAAAAACATTCTGAATGTACTAATTGGGCAGATACCAAAGGCGACTGGGCTACAAAGCCGCCTGACTTCCTATTGACAGACCTCAAAAGCTAGAGTGCCGGTGGCTTGGACGAAACGGCTCTCTGTTAAAGCTCACTTGATTCAGCCGCGTTATTGTTTATATTTAAGAAAATTATGCACTGGGAGATACCTGAATTGCTTTATCGTAATATGTGATAGATGGGTGTGATTTTTAGTAACACTCGACATCAATACATTGATGCTGAACGACTGGGTATTATTTTAAACACCAACCGTGTGTCAGATTTTCTAGCAAAACTGAAATAAAATGTTAATATTACATTTATGAATTACAATAATGAAACTATGAAATATGTGAAACAACCTGAATTTTTAGAGACATGTTATTATTTTTTCCTCCCCCCACCCCCCAAATCGTATAGATACATCAAAATCTGCCGGCCCTTTGGTAGACAGGTGAGTGTCAAACAAGCCAAGACAATTATTGCAGCAATCATCAGCATCTCTGTGGGACTTTCAGTACCTTACGGCGTCATTCACGGCAGCCGGAAACAAACAACCTCGCTTCCCGGTATCCATGGCTACGAGTGTGACGTCAGCGACGACTACGCGCAGACGGTGTGGCCCACGGTTGTCGCTGCGAGCATGATGGGCTGCTTTGCCCTTGGCTCCACGCCGATGCTGGTGATGTACTTCCTCGTGGCGAGGACGCTGCGAAAACATCAAGCACTTGATGGGAAACCGCTCGGGACGAAACACTCGGGACTAGATCGGACATCTTGCATGCTGCTGGCTATGAGCCTCGTCTTCATTTTGTCCTTCCTGCCGTTTTTCGCTCTCGGCTTGTTCAAATCTGCAGTCACTCCCGCCTTTTTCAAATCTATGGGGGAAAGTTTTTTAACTTTCTTTCACCTGTTCCACATGTGTTTTTTACTCAACGGCGCCATCAACCCTTTCATCTACAGCCTGTGTGATTTCAAATTCAGGAACGAGTGTGTCAAGTTGTTGAGCTGTTTTAGCCGTAGTGAACAATGAATGAATGGGACATGGTGGATTAAGGTGAATTTTAAAAAATAAAAAAATAAAATTATTTTAAAAAAACATTTAAAATTGTGGAAATGTAAATAAAAAAAACGAAGTCGCACACAATCGGGGCCAATATTAAATTATGACCGAATGAAGAAAACTTTTTTTTTTAAATACCCTTTTGGAGTTTTCAATCACTGAACTGTTTTATTTCTATTGTAAAGTTACCCCCTGAAACGCAAGCAACATTTGATGAAGCGATATTAATAAAACCTTCTCTTCATCACTAGGGTGTTGAAGTAAACTTTAAAGACCAGCAATGTATCCCAACGGACAGACACGCTTAAACATATTTGTTTTATTTTAAGTGATAAGATTAGATACGATTATTTTATTGATCCAAGCAAATGGAACTGTTCTTTCTGTTGCATTGCATATTTTCTGCACATAAATAAAACAATTTGAACACAAGACATGTACATTAAACTATTTCACTAGTGAAAAAAACATACATTCAGTGAATTCTCTTAGCCAGATCAGGGACTTATCAGTTCTCGTTTAGATTTGTCACTTCTGGGGGAGCACGCTGGTAAATTCGTACAGATTTGGGGAACAAAGGATTTTTTTATATCTTTTAGTCATCGAACAGAGAGAAAGAATTCGTCCCGAACGGGCCGAACCTAAGTATCTGTGATTAAAAGGGTGGGACGTATCATCCAATGTTTAGTTTGCGTTATGTTCCTAGCTTTCTTGTATAGTCTGTTTATTCGGTGTTTAATTTCAAACGATGAATTCCCACACCAGCAGGTAATACTGAAATTAAGCAGGCTTCCAATTGTTGCACTGTAGAAATAGTTAACGACTTGCTTCTTGACGCCGAAATTGAGTCTCTGGTTTAAATTTCGTATGCAGCATTTTACCGTGCTCGTGCCATGTCAGCTTATTATTAACGGAGACACCAAACTACTTTTACGTCTACTATCTTGACACTGGTCGGGGCGCACAGATAATGTAAAGCTTTTCCAACCATTTCCATTAGAGGACAGTTCAATGATGTAGGGCAAAATAAAATAAGCCATTATGAATTTGATTTTTTTTTTTAATGGCCGGCTTCTCAAAAGTCGTATGCATAGCACAATATTCTGCTCATGTACTTATCAACGGTGCAACAACGGATGCATTTTTTGTTACTTTATCTCTATCCCCCGTTATTCGTGACTCTATATCTGAACATGATTGTGTTGTAATTCAAAAAATTATAGAGTTAAAATGAACGTAATGTATATCTTCTAGCCCTGTTATGTTATGTGTGTATTATTTTAGAAGTGGAAATAACGTTACTGAAAGTCTTGGGAAAATGAATTCGTAGAAATATAACATGCCAGGCATCATGGATTTTAAAAAAAACCACAGTAACCATTTTTTTGACATCGTTAACATATTTTAACTGGACAGGAGCTTTTCTTACCTGTTGACTGTCAGTTGGGAAGTTTATTAACTTGTCACATGAACATTTTCTTTATTTTGAATGAGAATTTAAAAGAAAGTGTTATCATCGGCAACGAGTCTATGTGCCAATTTTAATTCGATAGGTTTACGGAAAGTGGGTCAATTAGCCGTCCGAAGTTTTTGACCTAAAAACACGAACAAAAGCGAAGTTAATATACATTTTAAAAAAAAAATAATAATAATTTTTTACTCATTACAGACAGAAATATATATATTGATAAATTTAGAAACACCAACAAATTGATAACTTTTTACATATAAATTTTAAAAAACAACAACAACAAATAAATAAAAAGCGGTCAAGATTCTCCTGTGACAAGTCCAATCGTGAATGCCACTCCAGGATCGACCATAAATCAAAGTGCAAATGCTCCATCGGCTCACAAAAGAGGAATTATGACAAATGGTATTTGATAAATGATCCCTCCTCGTCAAGAATGGGCTGACGGACCACTCGGTCATGAGATTATAGAAAGCTTAGGACGACATCGAACACCCTACCTCTTGCTTCATGGGGAAAAAAAAGATATGTGGTTATCGTGAGGCATGCCGGGTAACTATTTCCGGACGAACCTTAACATTTACAATTGAACAAACTCCACTTACACAGTGTTCACGAATGCTGAGACGGGCTTTGTGCAGTTTAAAGTTGACTGATTCAAAGCTACAATTTTAAACAATTTGTCTTGTACAGTTTCTTTAGATATTGATATCCATTTCCACACTTAAAATTCAGTCGTCTGACGCACAGAAAAAAAAAAAAAAACAGGAGCATAACGGGAAATTGGAACTGAACCTCTTTTTCTGACACCAACGGATTTAGAGTTTGACAACAAAAGTCCACGGCTTTGATAGTCAAATAAATTGATTTAGAGTTTGACAACAAAAGTCCACGGCTTTGATAGTCAAATAAATTGATTTAGAGTTTGACAACAAAAGTCCACGGCTTTGATAGTCAAATAAATTGATTTAGAGTTTGACAACAAAAGTCCACGGCTTTGATAGTCAAATAAATTGATTTAGAGTTTGACAACAAAAGTCCACGGCTTTGATAGTCAAATAAATTGATTTAGAGTTTGACAACAAAAGTTCACGGCTTTGATATTCAAATAAATTGATTTAGAGTTTGACAACAAAAGTCCACGGCTTTGCTATTCAAATAAATTGATTTAGAGTTTGACAACAAAAGTCCACGGCTTTGATATTCAAATAAATTGATTTAGTCAGCGTTCAGCGAACTGTTTTAGCCATTACCCAAAAATAATTTTTTTTGGCCGATGTTAACCTAGAATTTGAATGAAGAAAATAATAGACTATTAAAATTCTAAATGGTCTATTGAATCTATTCACACGGAGGCTGCATTATAAATATGAAAATCGATCAAATAAAATGCTTCCTTGTGATCATTTCTACAGAAATATAACATTTGCAGCCCTTGACGTTTTAAGCATAGGTTAGCGTCACCGGGGTACTTTGGCATTCGCACCGGAGCAGGGCAGCCATCAGAGCAGGTAGCCATAAGAGCAGGGTGTCGACGGAGCAGGCTGCCATCAAAGCAGGGTGGCACCAGAGCAGGCCGACCCGAAGCACGTCCATGGAGAAGTCCGAGTTGGGGAACAACATGAGTTTACCTCACCGGGTGACACCAAATCTGGTGATGCCGCTGACCACATGAACAAAATAGGTGACTAGTCTAAAATGACGCATGCAACGTCAGACGCGAGCTAATCCTATCTGGCAAGCCACTCGTAGCCACAATATGTTGAGAGACGGGGGGCGTTTCTAAATTACACTGGCCAGATGCACTGTTGCCAGAAAAAAAATATATATTTTTCGTAAATCACGCTTTAAATATAATTTAATTTTTTTTATATTTTGAGCCCTTATTACCCCACGTGAAGCAATTGACCCCAGTTCGCCGACCTCTGGACTAAGCAGAAATGCTAAAACCATAAGTAGAGTGGGCGGGGGAGGGTGGGGGATTCAAACCGCAGCCATGCATAGCTACCACCGGAAAGAGTTTAGGTGCATCTGCATCCTTATCATTTTGCTTTTCCAGAAAAGTTTACGTAACAAGGAAACTAAATCCCAATGTGCGT